TAGCGTGAAGAACCGACTGGTTAGCTCCGTTCCCTGTGCAAATATGACCTCGATAATGCAGTCATATTGTATACGTGTAGATAATCTCTCACTGCGTATGTGACGCACGCATATATATATATATATATATCTGTTTTAGTACATATAAACAAATTTATAGCGCAGAATATGATAAAAATATGATTGCGCATGCTCTTTAAACGCGACATTGTCGGGCGTAATTTTGGTGGAAAATCTTTTTATTGAAAAAAAGTTACATATGTCGCGGTCATTGGGATCGAATTGATTTGAACGCGAAAGATCGATTATCGTTCGATTGAACTGTGCATTAACGGGCTCTGTTTAAGTCTTAATCTCGTCTTCTTTCTGTATTTAAACTAAAACGAAACAACAAAAAGAAAGAAAGATACAGCATGATTCAAATAAATAAATAAGTTATTCTTTCGCAGATAATCGACGTATGACGTAAGTCGGCAAAAAAAGACCTGTGCTTATTTACAAATTTGGCGGAGTAAATTCTGTTGATTGTATACACATGTATCGGGAACAAAGTTCGCTCGTCATAATTTCAGATTTACCGTTACACATGCTCAGACGGTAAACAGTTGATTTTGTTTGACGTCACTCTCAGTCACACTCTTCGTTATCTCGAAATTTTTTTATTTCTTTTCTGTTTGCACGGCAGTGATAAAGTTCCTCGCTAAAAACAAAACCATCGAGAAGTAGGAGAATTCAAAGTTGTCAATGTGTTGTTCTCTTGCGAGAAGTCAATGACCTCGTTATTGAGCCAAGCTGTCAGCTATAATTAAGTAATGCAAGCTAATTCTGACATATATATAAATCTTCTTGTAAACGTATTTTTTTTTTTTTTTATTCGATTTTGTTCGTTTGTGTTTACACTGAACACGTGCTTTTTTTTTAATATATTGTTGTCGTCCTCTCATCGAAAATAATATTAATTGCGCGAGTAACACTTTTTTTTTGCGAATGTCTCGCTTAGTATTTTAAGATCTATTTACGTCGTGTGTCTCTTTGAAAATCGAATTCGAGAATAGGAACAAAGATTTCTATCTGAGAGAACTCGCGCAAAACAACTTTCTTATCTGTATTTGTGAGCCACGCGCTACGCGATGATTCAGTATAAAGCCGAGTCATATGAGATATATGTACTTGTTTTGCAATTCACGCGTGAAAAGAACTTGCGCAGAGAGAACTCGTTGTGTTGATAATACTTATGCGCGAAGCACAGCGAATCTACAACGATAACATTGTGCGTGTGTTTATCCGCGCGAGATAAATTAATACCGCCTAAGTCGATATTAATTCCGGAGGGTAACGGCCTTGTTGCGTCACTTCCACCTCATGTGTGTGTATGTATGCCGAACATACGCGGACGGTTATTGAAACTGAACAGAATGCTCGAGAGAAAATTTAGACTGTCTCTAATAACTCGGAGAGAGTGAACATTTGTTATTTCACGTGTTCTCAATTAAGTTTTTTTTTTTTTTCATAATAAGTTTAGATAAGAGAAATAATTTTGATCCGTTACTCACGATATTAATTGAATTGTAATATCGCACGTTAATTCCACATTTTGCTTTGGATTCGATCGATTTTTATCTCAATATCAATTACTCAAATTTGTTTGAATTTAATTTACCGTCGAAGTAGATTGCCTCCATTGTAATTGAAAGGTCACCGCGATATTGGGAAATTTCGATATTAAGCGATCGATGCGATGCAAATGTACACGGGCGCGTAACACCAGTGTCCGAGATTAGAAACGGGCAGATGGCACAGAATTGTCCGCTTATCCAGTTTCGCTTTGTCAAACGAGATTTTAGATTAAAAGCAGGATGATCCATTCGACCTGTGTGTGTGTGTGTCTGGCAGAGATAAGGACCGTTCAATTTCCCTCGCAATTTCTCAGCCGGTCGCCTCTGAAATCGAATCGCCGGCCGCGCGTTTTCCCTCGTTCTCGTAAACTCCATCATGAAGATGCAATATCAATTCGACGCCTACGAACACATTTCGCCTCATATTACGCGCTTTATATAGTGTAAAATTCGAGAAAGAATTATCTACTTCGTTTTAACACATTGTCAACGGTATATGTTGCGAAACGGATCGAGTTTCAGCTTCCAGCAAATCTGCGAAAAATTCTTCACTTCGGCTAGTCTTCTTCAAAAATTGAATCGAGAGTCTGCAAACTGACGTCATGCTACAAACACAAAATCAAATAAATGGATTTTATTATTCGCACAATAACGATTTGGCGCGCACAAGATGTGACGAATTGTTTTGTCTCGCGTCTTCAACATCTGAAAACTGAAATAACGTCGATTCGCGCGTCTTTCGTTCTGCGACGCTTGACAAATGGAAAACGCCAATTAACGTCTCCCGTCGACAATGTGTTAAATAAGAGAAAAGATCCAACAAAAAAAAAACAGCCAACCGCCATTTTTTACGCAAATTTTTACCTTGTAATCTTCTATAGTGATCATTACGTTAGACGTTTCGACTTTTGAGTATTCGAGTCTTGTCAGCAAAGATAAAAAATAAAAGTGTCCGGCTCATTTTCGTCGAAAATTTCGTACAAACATTACGAAATACACATACACACACACACACACACACGTCTGGTGAGACTCTTCCGGAAATTTAATTTAATCAAGCAATGGGAAACTGAGTATCGCATCAACAAATGAAAACGCCATTGAGAGAATGACGTTCAACCTACGTCTTTATTAAGCCTGATTAAAACTGGGCACGAAATATACAGTCTTCGTCGTTCGATGTTTCCGATGTTACCAACCTTCTACCATTATGAACACGCATAAAGTGATAAGGATACTTTATCACTCGATCTTCGAAGTTGTGTGTCTAATCTCGATACACTTCTTGAACTTAAATTTTTACTATGAGGCAAAGATCTTTCGATGCAGAAATAAATGCGCCTTTTCAAAAATAAATGCGTAATAAGAAAATGCTGAAAGTGTGTGTTTTATCTCAACAGAAAATAAAAAAAAAAAAAATAAATAAACTATATGTATCTATCTATATTAAGAAAACTTCGTCTTTTTTCAAAATATATTGTATTGATATTTTGAGACGTGATGTAAAGTTGGTTTAATTGCTGACGCGAACACACAAATGTCTCATTAATGAGTCTGAAGTGCACGGCATGGCATTGCACGTTTGTTGCATTAATTTTTTTCGATGTTCGATTATTACGTTAATACGTAAAGTTGTAAGACGCAATTTTTCTCAGCGCCTCGCGGATTTGAAGTAACAATTCTCTCATGTGTGTTGCGTGCTCGCGAGGTCGAGGTTTATTTTCAGAGCAACGACGCCGTCGCCGTATGCACCTGGGAACTTGTCTCACACAAGCGTCTTTGTAAATAATTGAATTTTCACTTCGCCGGAAAAATAAGGAGGCATCTTTATACGATCGATTTATCGGCATTTATACCTGAGCATGACGACATCAAATGTTTTATAGACAATAGGTCGTAATATTTCTACCACGACAATATACGCGACGTGTGTGGGTCTCTGCAAGATACGGACATTTAATTTTCTTTAATAACACGCGTGTTTCGTTTCATAAGAAAAATAGTGGAAAATTTTTATTCAAGAAAAATGAAAGAAACGAAAGAATTTTATCGAAGAATTCTGCTAATAGCTTTATAATGTTATTATACGTGTGTGCGTGTGTGTCTGCAAGTACGGACATTTAATTTTCTTTTGATGACACGCGTCTATTACATTAAAGTAAAATTTTAATTAGAAAAAATGGATCAAGAAGAAACGAAAGCATTGCGTTCATGATGAATTGTGCTAATTTATATAAATTATAATTGAACAATAGAACGTTTAAACGTACAAGGAATATGAGTACAAGTAGTTCTAGTTTTCTCGTATTTGTCAATAGTGATGGTAACACGTCGTTATATAAGTAGGTCAGTGTATGATTACTGCAAGTTGTTCGATTTACAGGAAGTTTATATATCGATGTTTTGGTACGTGTTCTTTAGACAATGACGTGACGCGCGGTGGCGTTTTGTGCGAATTGTTTTCACGTGTAATCTATCACAGGATGTGTCAAGAGCGTTTTATAGACTTTCGATATATCTTCTCCGCCGCAAGATGCTGAAACAAAAGTATCAGCACACGTAATCGCGGTTCATTGAAATTGATGATTAAATCGTCGACTTTTTTTTTAAATTCTTTTGTTTGTTCGCTTGTGTGTTTACATTGCGCTTGTAAAAAAAGATAGATCAAACTTTATTGTGAATCATCGTTTGACAGTTCTTCGAAAATAACTCGCCAAACTTCTCTGATCTCGTTGCGTTTGAAGATTTGAAACTCGACGTAGATAACAAAAACGCGCGCTATCTCTGATCAAATTTTGCGTGAAATATTTGTGAAGTCGTTTCTTCCGACAATATTGAACGAGATGCGAAATTATCAAGTGTGATAAAAATTTTATCAATTTCGATAGCTCTCTGTCCCTAATATCATCTTGTTAACACAGAATCAGTGCCGAGCCATTTGTCAAAAAAACGTTCGAGAACGTTCTTATCCAAATTCGCGGTTTGTTTTCTCTGTCACGATAACGCGTAGGTACAATAAATTATTTATGAAACGCGTTTTCTAAAATTTCGGCGAAAAAAATACGCGCAAAACTCGCAAATATCAGAGATAACAAAAGAAAAAGATAATAAGATTCAATATAATAAAATAAAATTGTCAAAATTTTATTTCTGTGCGAATTTGTACGAGATATGTCTTGTTTGCATACGGCTATAAGTTCTCAAAAAACAGTGTCGAGCTTCCTGTTATCACAAGACACTTTGATCGAGCGACGAAGTGACGACAATCGGCTTTGATACGCGATAAAGTTAATTACTCCCGTATTGATACTCGAGAATAATAAATGTTGATGATTCCAATTATGATCTGATATCGTGCGCGTCGATCTGTTTTTGTTTTTGCAGGTCTGAGCGCCTGCGAAAGAAAGTCCTTCATATTCCTGCGGAAGGAACTGCCGGTACGACTCGCGAACATCATGAAGGAGATCCATCTGTTGCCGGACAACTTACTGAAGATGCCTAGTGTGGGTATTGTGAATAATTTATATGCCACTTCCTTCGACGAAATAATAGACTTCGAGAAAGCCGTTGTCAACTCAACCACTTTAGACAAGTGAGTGTGTTGAATTAAGCACTCTCTTGGAAAAAAAAAAAAAAAAAAAAAAAAAAAAAAACGAATTGCGAGTAACATAATTTTACTTTACAGCATCCGCGTCGCGAGATGGAACACGAATTGCGAGTTTTACTTATTGTGTGATTTTTCTTACAGATTCTGCCAGGCTCTGATCAAGATCCGGAACAGACACACCGACGTCGTTCAGACGATGGCGCAGGGCGTTCTGGAGCTGAAGGAATCGCACGACGTGGACGTGCAAACCGAGAACAGCATTCAATATTTCCTAGACAGATTCTTTATGTCTCGCATTTCTATTCGTATGCTTATCAATCAACATAGTAAGTTTGTTTGATAATGATGCCGTTCGCGTGCGACACTGATGTGACACTGACGTAAACGTTATCAACAAATTTGCGTTGACCTTGTGTTTGTTTTAGCGCTACTTTTCGGTGGACAATTGAACGGCCACAGCAGACACGTGGGTTGTATAGACCCGTCCTGTGACGTGATGGGCGTTATTAAGGACGCTTACGAGAACGCACGGTTTTTGTGCGATCAATATTATTTGGCTAGTCCGGAATTGATAGTCAGGCAACATAATGGCAAGTCTACATGTTTATTGTTCTCTAGTGACTCTAGTAAGTAGTTTATGTTGGGACAAACAACTCTTTCCGTAAAGTTATAAATTTATTGTTTATAGTCTTTTATTCTTTGCCCGGTGAATTCTGACGGATTTGTAAACTTCCGTTCTATCTGCTCTTGCACGATGTACCGATTAATACAAAACACAGACTTAAGTGAACTTCAAACTAAAGCTTGAACCAAAGCTAACACTAGAGCTTATTTGGAGGAAATTTCTTGGCAAGTGTGCAACATCTCGGTGTAGTTTGCCAGCGCTTTCTCTGAGATAGGAATCGATTTGAAAAAAAACTATGTCATGATTGGATTTGAACGTGTATATATTTGCGATATTAAATATTCTGTTCAGCAGTTATTAGAGATGATGCTAGTCAATTACAGTGCGTGTAATCCGTCAGACATTCTGTTGTGCGAAATTATCGCTAAAGTTTCGATGTTTTTAATAAAATTACTTATGAGTTGGTTTGTAACTGAATTTGTTTTCTTTAATTGTTGTCTAATTTGTTTTGTTTTGTTTTCTTTTTTTCAGAGTATGAACGTAGCAGTGAGATTAGAATCATGTATGTGCCGAGTCACTTGTATCACATGCTGTTCGAGATTTTCAAGAACAGCATGCGAGCCGTGATGGAACATCACGGATCCGAATCGGATAATTATCCACCGCTTGAGGTTTTGCTGGTGCGCGGCAAAGAAGATATTTGCGTGAAGGTACGAGGCAACGGCTCGACGTTTGTTTTTAGAAGATAAAGTCGAGCCGCGATTATGCATTATTTTTTTGTTTCAGATATCTGACAGAGGTGGCGGCATACCTCGTTCACAAACGGACCATTTATTTAAGTACATGTACAGCACCGCTCCGCAACCGAGCAAATCCGATGCTCACACCGTACCTCTTGCGGGATACGGATACGGTCTCCCGTTGTCACGGCTGTATGCCAGGTATCTCCACGGCGATATTGTGTTGCTTAGTTGCGAAGGCTACGGGACCGACGCTATTATTTATCTGAAGGTAAATGCTTTACGTTTTTCTTGGTGAAAATATCTCGGAGACATTAATGTGAAACTATATATTGTTAACTTTTATATTATTTTTTATTATCGTTGATTTTTATATTACCTTTTATCTAAAGATAGAGATTTATGTTTTATAAATGAAACCATTTTTTATCTCTTTAGGCGTTGTCCACTGAAGCGAACGAGCTGTTGCCAATATTCAACAAGACTTCGTCCAAATTTTATCGAACGCCGGTGCCTACTGCGGATTGGAGCAGTCAGTGTGGCGGAGGTATGGCAACGAGACAACTCAGTATGAGTCACGCTCAAGGACACAGGTTACCCCACGGGATGGAAATCACTCATTTATAGCAGAATGCGATCAATGAGGATCAGGATACGATCGGGTGAATAATGGAGCGCCATATATATCCGTCAGTTTTTCTGTTCGCGTGCTGACGTACTTTATTACTCGGTCATTTTTTGTTTGTTTTTTTTTTTTTTTTTTTTTTTTGAGAGAGACTTCAGCGGATGTATACTGTAACGCGTATTATCGCTTATTGCGTTATAAATCTTTGCAATTTGAAACGTCGAGAAATTGTCGCGCTACAAAGTTTATAGAATATAAGGAGGCAGAAAAATCTTCTGTAACTGCGTCACGAAGGATTGTTTTTAACAAAACACCAGCCAGATCAGCTCACGAACAACTATACTAGGAAAAATAATTCTCCATAAATATGAGAAGAAACAACTTTTTAGATATTAGGCAGAGATAAAATTCTGCATTGGCCAAAAGTAATATTGATAATCTTTCTGTGCCGTAATTGCATTACATATCAAAATAATATTCTATGTTAACATAGAGATACCATCTCTTTCTTAACAATTATTGTTTTCCATATATTTTCTGTGACACTATAGGTTTGTTTTGGGCGCTCGCGCGCTTTTAGCGTCAGACTATCTCTGTTCTGCATTTAAAAGGCAACAAAGACGAACTGACGCTTAAAGCGTGTAAGCGCCCAAAGTGAACGCACTCTATATAGTATATTTAGATACTATGTACAATATAGAATATCGGAGTCTCATTTTTAGCGAGAATATTTTTACAAGGTTTACAATTTATTAAAAAAAAAAAAAAAAAAGAAAGAAAAAAGAATCTTGTAAAAACAATCTCAAAAGAATGAATGATAATTTGTTTTTATAATACAGTGGTGCGTTTGGTTGATTGCGATTGCGATTGTTTATAATACTAGGCTTTGTATATAATGGAGTGTATTCAATCTTTTCTGTAGTTTTATTGTAAGTGCTGATGTATGTATACGTACATCAGCAGTTTACCTTCAGAAAAAGCATTTTTTGTAGCATTGTTGTAGCACTGAGCAATGTGTGCAATGTCCGATGATTACATTTTCGACCGCGTCTTGTCTTGAAAAAACAATTTGATGTGATGAAAATATACACACATAGATAGTTATATAAATTTTGTATAAAGCAATTTGAAAAATAGTAAATATACTTAGATAATTTTTTTTTTTTTTTTTATTTCGGTTTTATCTTGAATATATGTTGTCGAATAATATTGTCTTATAACGTGGTTTCGGAGAAACAGGCATTCACGTTCGATCGATTATGAGGCGCGTAACAAATTGCAGACTGTGATGTAACGTGAAACTTTGATTTAGCTGCTAGATTATCATTATCTTTTAATATACGTGTATGCGCAATATCACGTTCGTATAAGTACATAAATTTTAAGTTTACAGCTACGTATACGCTTCTGTTATTCTGTTATTCTGTTATTCTGTTATTCTATGACTACAAAGAGGACTGATCGAAGAGAAAAATACTCTCTCTCGCGGAAAGTATTTTATATTTGTATAAAAATGTTGAATCCAGAGACTGTGACTGGATAACGCACTTTTTTCAATAAATTTTCTACGGACAAATTTAAACTTTATATACCGATTCAGAAATGATTTTTCACGGATACAATTTTTGGTATGTACATAAATCTCACGTTCTGAGGTATCTGTGTAGTTACATCCGTGAAATTTTTTTTTCCGTCACAAACGGTTCTTTAATATCGCGTTTTCTCTTATAGCGAATTTTAGAATGAAAAAAGATCATTATTGTAAAAATTTTGATTACATATACGTCTAATTTGTGTACAGTATTTATTTCACTGACAATTGAAAACAAAGTAGAGTGAGTTTTAAAAACTGCCGTATAGATATCAAAAGACAAAGAAAAATAGATATATTTATTTTATATAATTATATATAATGTACACAATATATAGTATAGTATGAATATACTACATTATATATTTGTACTATAATATATATTATTTTATATAATATATAAAATATTGAGCACATACTTGTCAAATTTTTCCTCCGAAGTGAAAAACCAATTGAAGGATTAATTAGAGAAAGTTTTTACTTGATCGCACGGATACCTTAAAGCGAGGAAAAACATTAATTTGTACGCTCATGCGAGAGATGTTGGGAGAAAAATGCAATGGTAAACGAGTTACTTGTAAAAAAACAATGGCTACGTAGGTTTTCTATGTATAGGTACTGCAGTGTTTTGCAGCCACAATTTCGACGGACATAAATTGAACTCGTTCCTAAATTCATTTACTACAGGTTGGTTTCGTTATTATTGACAGTACTAAAAATCTACAGGTTTGCGTGTAATACTTGTAGATTTGTTTGAAGTACTATCGATAATGACGGAACAGAAATTACGCGTTGAGAGTATCGCGCGTGCGCATAATGCGCAATGGGACAGAGTTTGTAATTTGTAGAAGTCCCTTTTTCCGAGCGCGATTTTAGAAATGATTTTAGAGAAAAATGTTATGTACATAATGCTATGTGTTGCGTATATGAATGTTATAAATAAATAAATACATAAATAAAGTTTTAGTTAGTAAGGCAAATATAGGTATATAATATAGAATATATATATATACATATATAAATAAATAAATATATATATATATATATATATATATTCGTGCGCGCGGCACAAGTAAGATCTTGTAAAGCATTGTTAATAAATATGTCACAACAGAAAAAGAATGTAGAGATTATTTTTGCAAGATAGATGAAAATAGGTCAACCTCTATATGTACATTTTTTGTTCTTGATAAGAACAAAAATTTAAATTATTTCTTTGCTGTGCGTCATTGAAGTGATAGTAAATATAAATATTTAAATGACTAGAAAGATGTGTGTCACAGTCATGCATTTTGATGACGCGTGTGGATTTGTCAAATATATATTTCAGCTAGGACATTTGCTCACCGGATCATTTTTCATAATCTAATAAACATTTAGCAGATAAGAACACATTTCAAACACTTATAGGAAAGGTTTATTAGACGAATTAGTATCACACATTGAAAAAAATTAATGGCATCTGTATTCACAGTAATATAAAAATAACGTCGGACACATGACGATTTAGAAATCAATTTTCTGTTTTTTCGACATTTTGTTATATTATAGTTACCGACGAGAATTACCTAACTATTGAAACAAATACTCACTTTTCATGATACTTCAACTTTTTCCTTCAATTTCCTGTCGCGTCTACCGCTAAAATGGGTCTCATATGATACAAACACACGTTGTATACTCAACGTGCAAGGATATATACATATAATTACAGGTTTCTCTTCAATTATTAATTACACGCGCAATTGTGATAAAGACCCGCATGTTATCAAGGACAAATGATAAATCAAGGACACACCTATGCGTATGAACCTCGTGCTGATGACTTCCAAATAACTTAATTGTATATGCAAATTAATGCCCATATCCCGTTATTCCACATGATCTCACGTATGCCATCATCTGGAAAAAAACGCATGTATAAAAGTCGAAAGCCAACTCCGTTCAGAACACATATTCCGCAAACGTATCCCACGTGATTCTCCGCCAGCTGTTGTCATACAGGTAATATGCAAAGATTTCTATTTGTTATTGCACCAATTGTCCGTGAAACTTGTTTATCTAACTAAAAAATCCTGTTTTACTTTGCTTTTTTTTTTATTTATTTTTCTGTAGATAAAATATATAATAGAAGAATATAGTAGATAGAATATATAATAGAAGCGAGCGATTGTCGAGCATGATGACGGCAAACTTGTATTTTTTTGCTTATAAAACAATACTTACACAATTAATGATGTTTGCGAGGAACAAAAAAAAAAAAAAAAGAAACTGGAAATTACACACAGATAAAGACGCGATGATTCGTGATTTTGCAATTGTTTGTACCGGAAAAAATTTAAATAGCATTCTTACAAAAACCGGATAAGAAATTTTTTTATCCGTGCAATTAGGTAAACGAGAATGTTTTATCGGATCTTGATCGATTGTCTAGTTTCTATTGAGTGCATGTTAAACAAAACAAAATCCTATTATCAATCGCGCGCGATAAAATTATAATTGATAATTAAAAATAATTGAATATATACGACACATGTGTGACACTTTTCTGATAAAAATAGAAATATACATGTAACAATTAAAATGTTGCTGATCGATTGATGTTGCGCAAAAATATAGTTTTATGTTATTTAAAAATAAACAAAATATGAAATTATACAAAACGCTTCTCGTTTATTGCCGCCACTGACGGCATTTGAATTTGATCAAACTGAAATTCGACAGTCATAAATATCGAGACGCGATTTATTTTCTCTTTCTTCTTTAATAATAACAGAATTACAAATCGTAGGTTTTTCTTTTTTTTGGAGTGATTTTATTGCTTCATGTTTTTACTTTGTACACACACACACACACACACATAGATTCTATTTATTTCTAACGCCACAGGTATTTTTTATACCTTTTTTCGCTACTACTTTTTGTTTACTTTTTGTTTACTGTTTTAATTTTGATAACGCTTTTTTTTTATGTGGACGCAACAAAGCTACTCAATGATACCGTGTTGAGTAAATAATCGCGATAACTAATCTTTTTCACTGAATTTATTTTTTTAATCTGATGAGTGGTGAAACCGACTCTTTTTATTTATTTGATTAAAACGTTTTGATTGTTCAATAGTATTTTGAAATAATGTCAATGTTGGTGTCGTGTGCATTGTTCACTATATAATGAACGAAACAAAACAGCAGTCGCAAGTGTTTCCGATTCGCGGAAGGAATAAGACATTCAAATAAGGTGATTCTTGTCTCACAAAAAAAATGTAATTAACTGTGAAAAAATATATAATAAATTGTCGACTTTTTACAAATTATTGCGCACTTGTGTGTTAGTAACAATTATTTTACGTCTGATTGATTTTGTGTGAATTAAAGAGATGATTAAAATTGAATTTGTGACAAAGTTTTTTCAAGTTTTTTTTTTTAATTAAAACGCATCCGCTACTGTAGACGAATCGTGAATGTTATCTACTCACCTGTTTAAATGTATATATATATATATAAACAATTGGAATAAATGTATTATTGAACGCGATTACAAATAAAATTGTATAAAATTGTGTTCGTACAGTGTCGTCATGTGGAAGATATTAGTGCTGTGCACTGCCGTGGGCCTTGCGGCTTCTGAAACTCAGAAGGCCAGCTTCAAAAATTTCAAAGTCTTCAGACTTAATCCAACAACAGATGATCAAATCACTCTTCTGAGCGAACTCGAACATGACGTCCAGGATGGAGTGAGTAAATTTTTAAGTAAAAATTAACAAACATCAAACACACATACAGAGAGACACCAAGCAAAAAGTATTTTGATTAAAGCAAACTGCTTCTACTCGAAAAAAATGTTGTAAAAAAAAAAAATATTAAATTGTTACTTACAGTATTCCATCTGGGCGAGTTCGACCACGAATTACGGGGTCAGAGCGATGGATCTCATGGTAGCTCCGCACAAGTTGCCCGAATTCTACGAGATGATGGGCAATCTCGGTTTACGCTACACGCTCCACATCGACGACGTTCAGGAGTTGATCGACGCCGAGCAGCCCATCACTCTCAGTCGATCGGGCTATTTTGATTTCACCACCTATCACACTCTCGAGGAGATTTACAAGAACCTGGACGATCTGGCGAAGCAGTATCCCGACAAGGTGCAAGTCGTCGTGGGCGGCAAAACGTACGAGGGACGTCAGATCAAGGGTGTCAAATTGTCCTTCAACAGGACAGCCCAGCCCGGTGTCTTCNTCGAGGGTGGCATTCACGCAAGGGAATGGATCTCGCCTGCAACCGTAATGTACATTCTGCATCAGTTGCTGACCAGCAACGATACGGATATCAGATCTCTGGCGGAGAGACACGACTGGTACATATTCCCGTCATTTAACCCAGACGGATACGCGTACACGCACACCACGGTAAGCTTAGTTTGAAATATTTCGCACACGTTGTAACGTTTGGTTTGAAAATTTACAAAATTGAGATAGTTTACGTAATTTTCGACCGCTTTCAGAATCGAATGTGGAGAAAGACGCGCAAGCCGTACGGTATGTTCTGCAGAGGCAGCGATCCGAACAGGAATTGGGGCTACAGATGGAACAGTAAGTGTTTTACTACTTAATGAAAGATTAATAGTTACGTTTATACAATATAAAAAAGACAAGAGATATTATTTTGTTAAACTCGTAAAATTTAACGTTACATTTTGACATTTCTAGCTGGTGGATCTAGTACCAATCCTTGCTCCGAAACTTATGCCGGAAGCGCACCGTTCTCTGACATTGAAACGAAGAGCATGTCTGAATATATCGCCACCATTCAGAATAAGATCTACGCGTATATCTCGTTCCACAGCTACTCACAGCTTTTGCTCTACCCTTACGGTCACACTAGGGATCATCTTGACAATCACAATGAATTGGTGAGCAATAGAGATCAGTATGATTTTTTTCTTCCACACTTTGGAAAATTTTATATAAGAAACAAATAATATTTCTTATAACGAGGCAGTTTATATTAATTTAATACAGTCAAACCTCGATAACTCGAGCCTCTATAATTCGAAAACCTCTGTAAGACGAAAATTTTGTTCCGCTCCCCGGAAAGGAAAAAAGAACTTCGATAAATCGAAATCTCTACAACTCGAAGATTTTAGCTCTTCCCTTGAGATTCGAGTTATCGAGGTTTGACTGCAATTAGTAAAAGTAATTTGTGAAGTAATTTGTATGAGAGAGAGAGAATCTCACGTACAATCTCGTATCACTTTTTTAGATTTAATCACACTTTCCGCTAACTTAATCTTATCTTATCGTCGACAATCGATTGATTAATTGTTTTATGCAAGTTTATACTTGCATAGAATTCTTTGCATATTATCCGAATTATTTCAGTACGCTATTGGTGAGAAGACAGTTACTGCCCTCAAAAAGAGATACGGAACTGAATACGTACACGGAAATGTTGCGGAAACTATTTGTAAGCACAGAGAAAGTTCTTTACGTTTTTTATTTAATTCACATCTTTTTTTATTTTTATCGTACCTAAATAAAGCATTGTTCGCTTATTTATATAGTGCGATCAACCATAATTAAACATTTTCAATCAATCGACAACTATATTTGTATTAATTGCATTGCAAGATTAAAATCACCATCGGATAAATATATATTGATCAATTTTGGTCGTTTTTACTAATTTATAAAATTTCTAGATGTGGCCACTGGAAGCTCTGTAGATTACGTCAAAGGCACTTATGGCACACCTATCACGTACACCTACGAGTTGCGTGACAAAGGTCGTTACGGTTTCTTGCTACCCCCTAACCAGATTATTCCCACTGGACAAGAGACAATGGACTCCATTGTAGCTATGTTCAAAGAAGCGAAAGCACGTGGACATCCCAAACTTTAGGACTGATTCAAGATCGAAGTGAATGCGTATGATCATCTATTTAATACATATGTCACATGCCTATTATAACGCATTTTTATCTGACGCATTGTCGATTTGTTTACTTTCATTTGTAATTAAATGATACAAATAAATAATGAAAATGTACGTAAGTTTTGCGTTACATGTTGGATCTGACAGTGTATCTGTGCGCAAAAAAAAATAAATATACAATATAAATATACATTCTCGACAAGTAAAACTTGTATGTTTTGTTTTTTTTCAAAGGAGCAACATCATATAAACAGAAAGATAAATTTTTTTTTTATTTACGCAGTATTTTAGTCGGTTGATAATTTAATTGTCAGATAGTAGGTAAGCAGAGAAGCATATAAGTGGAAAAAGGTGTAGAACTGTTATATTGTTTTATCACTTTTCGCGAGATTGTTTTTTTTTCGTACAATAAAAATCTGTATCTTCAAATTTCACGAAAGAGCATCTCGACAATTACGATGACTTGGTAAGAAATTGTGAGTGTTTGGAAACCAGTATATAATCTAGAAATAAACGTGATATCTCTCAAAAGATAACAAGCAATTATTGACGTCTGCAAACTATCTCTATCACGTTATCGTCTTTGTGATTTTATCATCGAGACATCACGAAACACAATTCAATACAAGCGAATACAAAAAAAAACAATCAAAATCTCAAAAAACTAACTTTTAACGTTTGATTTTCAATACACATCTTACATTTTCAATCACATGTTAATTGACTCGTTTTCATCGATGTAAACAATATCGTCACTCACACATTCTATTTGACGGTAATTATTACTTTTTTTTCTCGCGAAATAAGAAATTTTATATTTTATTTAACACTTTAGTTGTGTATTTATCTTGTACATTTTTTCACATCATCTTATTCTCCAAATGTCTGTGACGCATATCACGTTATCGGTCACAAAATACTTAATGACAAATAATTTGTGAGATAAGAGTTGAAACAATTATATAGTAATAAATTATACACATAGAGAATACACGGTGAATGTACACTTTGATTTTTCCTAGAGAGATGGAATTATTAGATAATTTATCAAAAGATATGATCGTGTCTCTTGATAATAACATTATGAGTATAAATATAAATTTATAATCATCAAGATAAATCTATCAAATACTGTTGGGTTTTTCAAAGCTAATTTAATATAGGAGATGAGAAGAGAGAGAGAGAGAGAGAGAGAGAGAGAGAGAGTAGGATAAAATCCGATATAATCGTTGATTGAACAATGTGATTTTTTTCAAGTAATGCTTCTGACATATAACGTTGATTGATTGTGTCGTGTGCACTTGGCGTTTAAATACAATGAACGCGAAATAGTAACAGTCATAAACACTTTAATTCCTCAAAAGGTAAGTTATGTTTTTTTTAAACGAACAGTTTTTTTTATTTAAGCAATAAGAAGCAAGTAAATATAAATTTAATTGATCGATTTGTGTAATTTGTATTATCGAAACGAGTAGCCGTTGAATTATTTTACAAACACACGATCATTATATACGATCAAAAATATAAAAAATTTACTGTGACAATTATGTAACATGCGAATTAATTAATTTGGAGATTAAACTTTGCAGATTATCTCTGCGAGCATATCATGTGGAAAATCATAGTGTTGTGTGCGATCGCGAGCTTGGCGATCGCTCAGCAAGCCACCTTCGTGAACTACAAGGTTTTCAGGATAACTCCTGTTACGAAAACGCAGGTTGAGAAATTACAGCAGCTGGCAGAAATTAACAATGAAGTGAGTGCAAATGTCCAGTTGCAAATGTAACATCGACTGATCTTGTTAATTTTGGTTCTAAATAAATTAATTAATACACTATTCTAATTTATAGAATTTTTTTTTGAGAACAAACGCGAAGAATAAACTCGAATATAAAAAATTTCTTCATAGTTTTCACCCAAATTCGCACGCTGTTTCGCAGTTTTCATTCTGGAACGAACCGAGCAACGTAGGAAAAAGCGTGGACCTCATGGTGGCCCCGCACAAATTGCCGGAATTCTACGAAGTGATCAGCCAGATCGGGGCACCGTATCAGCTCCACATCAAAAACGTTCAAACATCCATCGATCGAACAATATCTGCGAATTCATCGGCGTCGTTCGATTTCAAGAGCTATCACAATCTTGACAAAATTTACAAGAACCTGGACGATCTGGCGAAGCAGTATCCCGACAAGGTGCAAGTCGTCGTGGGCGGCAAAACGTACGAGGGACGTCAGATCAAGGGTGTCAAATTGTCCTTCAACAGGACAGCCCAGCCCGGTGTCTTCNTCGAGGGTGGCATTCACGCAAGGGAATGGATCTCGCCTGCGACCGTAATGTACATTCTGCATCAGTTGCTGACCAGCAAGGATCCGAATGTCAGATCTCTGGCCGAGAGCCACGACTGGTACATATTTCCCTCATTTAATCCCGACGGATACGTTTATACGCACACTAAGGTAAATCGCATTCTCACGTCGCCGCTGTAAATTGTGTGATATTTATTTCTAGAATTTTACAAGTCGAGATATTTTCTTCAATTGCTTTCAGAACCGACTGTGGAGGAAGACGCGCAAACCCTATGGTCTTTGCTACGGCGCCGACGCCAACAGAAACTGGAACTACAAGTGGCTGTGTAAATACTTGAATTTTTTTAATAACAGAAAATTATATAATTGTCAACGAAAAAAAATGTATTACTTTATTACTTTCAAACACGAAAACTGTGTGTTTCGCGCGCGTGTTGAAATCTTTACAGACACTGCGAAATCTTGTCAATGCTCGAGATTTAAATATTTTGTGCGGTCGTTATAATAGAGTGCAATTGAGATAAATCGGCGAGAGTGTTAATTGAAAGTCAAATTCGTTGTGAGACGCGCCTTTCAGACGCGACATTGACACATTCAATGAGTCAGCGTATTGATCTTCGCACGAATCATGTAATCATCGGTCTCGAGTGTGTGTTAAAGTCCGTCGTTGCTGTTTAAAAGAGAAGAGAGCTAGCGCGCTTCTCATAACGATTGTTACACGCACAAATTTGATATTGAAATGTGATATTGTTGGACAAACTTCGACGAGCAAAAAAAAAAAAAAATATTGAAATATGACTTTAATGTTTGAAAACTTGAATGCAATTTTTTATACTTTTAGCTAAAGGCGCTACCAGCATGCCGTGCACTGAAATTTACGCGGGAAGCGAGCCGTTTTCCGAGATAGAGACGAAGAGCATGTCCGAGTACATTGAGACCATTTCCGACAAGTTCTACGCGTACATTTCGTTCCACAGCTACTCGCAGTTGTTGATGTTCCCTTACGGCTACACGAAAGTGCATCTTGACAATTACAACGATTTGGTGAGAATCGCTATTATTAAAAGGCAATATGGCAGTTAAAAAACATTTAAAATTGAGAAAAAATAATTATCAAACATGATTGTTTTAGAACGCCATTGGTTTGAAATCGGTCGCAGCTCTGAAACAGAGATACGGGACTGAATATCTGGTCGGAAATGTTGCCGAGACGATCTGTAAGTGTGCAAAAACTTTATTTTATTTCTATAATGTGCTTTACAATATTATTTGTTTTTTTATTACTTACGTTTATGTTTAATTATTCTGCAAGAGTATACAATCATATTTATGTAGTTATCACGTTTTTTTTATAATATTCAGGGTAAACGTGTTATAAATACGTAAAATTGTTGTTTACGAAGCTGTTGCAAGAAACTAATTATTAGTTTTGCGTGAACTGCAATTTTGCGCCAGCGTTGTGTTAAAAAAACGATGAGATGATAATGATGCGTGATCTACTACAGTTTTATGTGCGAAAAATACAGATTGTGTAACCTTATCGAGCTACTTGCGACCGGTTTGCTCGACGAGTTATTGCGTAATAAATAACATCCGGCGAGTTGATTAAAATTGCTTTATATGGTTACACATACTTATCTGTTATATTGTTTTTGATTCGATAAACGTGGAGAGAGGTAATCTCGCATCACAAGAAAATCGTGCACCGTGCGCACTGAATTCTCGTTCGAGAGTTGCACGCAATTCACGAACCGTAACTCTGCAGATAATTTTTTTCTTCACAGTACAATCTGTTGAAAACAAACAGTTGCTGACAAAACAATTTGTCAAACAAGACAACAATTTGCGCGCATTTGCCTGCGCGTAGAATTGCAGTTTTGGAAATTTTTACAAATAAAAGCAAATTACGAGTCTTAAGATTCCTATACAGACATAAATGTCCAGTGAACATATCTTTTGGATGTTCAAGTTTCGATAAATATCCAAGAGATATTTTTAGAAAAAAAATGCTGTGTCTAGATTCGCAGAATTAGACAATTCTTCGTTTAAATACAATAAAAAGTCTTTTAAATAATGTTTTCAATTATTTCTTAGATGAATGCTCAGGAATTACTGTGGATTACATCAGAGGTATTTATCGCACGCCTATTGTGTTCACTTACGAGTTGCGTGATCGCGGTAGATACGGTTTTTTGCTGCCGCCTGATCAAATTATTCCATCTGGAGAAGAGACTTTGGATTCGCTCGTAACAATGTTCAAGGAAACAAAAGCACTTGGATATCCCAAAGAAATTTAAAATAATTCCAGGAGTTTCTTCTTAGACGGCATAGCCGTTTTTTTCCGGAAACTTCATTAAGTCTCATGCGTAAATGTGTAGCAAACTATTGTGGCTTGATACAGACCTTATTCCAAGATTAAAACGTTGCAAATTCAAATAAATCGTATTAATAAATATTTATATATATATATATATATATGTTATATATATTTTAATAACACATAACCGTCAAACATTTTGTCCTTCTCCTATTGTAAGTTTTTAACTTTAAAGCCAAATACCACTTCTTAAGTAATTACTTTAATTTAGTTAAATGTTTTTATTATGTCAATCTACAGCCAAGTTTTTAGCCATTGCTTTTAGATCTTTTTTCAAAATCTTCCCAGAACCTGTATATGAAAAACTTTCGAGAAATATGACGCCAGCACGAAGCTTGTACTGATCCATCATGTTGTTCGCCACGTGATCGATTAATTCCTGCTCCGTCACCTACGACATGTATAAAAATACAAGTCTATCATTATCCAGCAACACCGCAAAACTTACTTAGTCAAAATATAATTGCGATCTCATTTATTGGCAATGTAAGCAACTCTCAATTCGTCTAACGTTGCCATATGTGCAGTGATATCGCACCTTGGCGCCGGATTTTTTGGTAACGAAGGCAAGCGGGCGATCGTTGTCTATTTCGTGTGGCACTCCCACTACCGCGACTTCGCACACCGCTGGATGAGTACTTAATACCGCTTCGATTTCACCGGGTGAGATTTGAAACCCTCTGTACTTCATGAGTTCTTTTATTCTATCCCAAATAAACAGTTCCCCGTCCTCATCGACGTACCCAATGTCGCCTGTGTGTAGCCATCCTGAAACACAAGTATTAGTGTGGATTAATAGTTAATTCAATATTATAGAGTAATTACGTACACTGATCTGGCTTTGAATCTTTTTGCGTGAGAAAAGAAGAAAGTTTTTCCTCTTCGTTCCGTTGTTTTTCGACTGTTGTCAGTCGTTTAAAACGAACTATTGTGTTAAAAGAGAACTCCTTCTTACGCAAAACGATTTAATGCCTGACGGTGTACTTGTATCACATTTCTATTTTACAAAGTTTAAATCCGTTTATCTTTGTTTTGTCTCACCGTCCTCGTCAATCGTCTTCTTCGTCTCTTCAGGGTTATTGTAATAGCCGTTCATTATGTTTGCCGACTTCACACAAACCTCACCCGACTGATTCGGACCCAGAATCTTGCCGGTGTCCGGATCCACAATTTTTAGTTGCACATTATTGACCACCGTGCCGGAGGATCCGCTCTTGTGCTTCGAATTTTGCAGCGTCACAAATCCGACTTCCGTCATACCTATAAAAGTATAAAATACACCATGACAATTTTGTAACGACAGACACGTTTTTTATTTAACGTATCTCTAATATTCGGTTCGATTAGAACGACCATACCGTAGGCTTGAAGTATATCGACGTGCGGTAACAAATTCTTCAGATCCTCTTGCACACTCGGCTTGAGAATCGCACCACCGACAAGTATAACTTTCAAAGACGATAATGAATAGTTCTTTATATAACCGGCCTTAAGAAATCGACTCATCATACTCGTGCTTAAGAAAATTGTGTGCACCTAAAGTATTATGGACAATGATTATTTGTAACGTTCTACGCAAAATTTTTTACGTGATGTGATACGCGAACTTGTTTGTTTTACAAAAAAAACGTTTTTAACTTCTTGATTTAACATTTGAACATTGCAATGCACATTTAATTATGCTAATTAAATATAAAATCTAGTAAATAAAAGTCTGACAAAAACTACTACAATTTCTTTTTTTATAATCTAGAATCATTAGTAACATCTGTCTTTATCATTATTGTCATTATTAAAGTGCCTGCAAGATTGTCTGAGATTGAGCGAGATATTTTACTTATGTTTACAGACAACATTTTCCACGAACAAGACAAAATAAAAATTTCCAAGAAAAAATACATAAGTATAATCACCCGCCATTATCCATTTTTTCTCTCTCACCTTATATTTTTCAATCAACACGCACGTCATCTGCTCGTCGAATACCGGATAAAGAAGCACTGTGGAGCCTTGCGCGATCGCTTCCAAATTCAGAAATACTCCGCTCATCCAATAAAGAGACGAGAACCAAAGCGACACCTCGTTATTCATGTCCATGGCGTCTTCAAAAGCCAGGACCAACATAGTGTAATTAGATATTTCGACTCCTTTCGGCATTCCCGTGGTGCCTGACGAGTGCAAAATGCACGCAGTTTTCTTCAAGCTGTTTTCTTCGGCCTTGACATATCGGAAATTCGCCACCTCCGCGTCGCTGTAACCGTTGAGGATATTGGAGAACGAAAACGCGTCGGAATGATCGTCGAAAACTATCACTTTGATGTTGTAGTTCGTCTCCTTCAGCGCTTTACGAATTACATCCAAAGGCTTCGCTGTGCAGAAAATCGCCTTCGGCCTGATCAGTTTTATGCAATGCAACGCGGTTGCTGAAAATACATTACGATGTACAACACGTATACAAAGAACTGATTTTTACACTTCGCGATTATATTTTTCGATTATTGTTCTCGTAAGTATAATATACTTACGCAAATCCATATCTTCGTTCATTGTGTTAAAGATCGCAGCAACATAAGTCGCCGATAAGCACGGCACGATTGAATTAAAGTGGTTATTGCTGCATATGCTGACGACATCGTCGCGTCCGATTCCTTGGTGTTTCAGCCACAACGCGCATTTCACAGTTTTAACTTGCAGTTCCTCATATGTGACCGTTTCTTCCGTACGTGCGTCCAACTGCAACAATATTAAAAATAATGTAAGTTGTACAGATCGCACGCGGCCTTCTTAGTATTCAATTGTTCAAGAGAAATAGTAATAAAGCCAATAAAAGCCGCTGAACGTAAACATGCAAAATATCAGATCAAAATTATAAAAAAACTCACATGTGCGATTTTATTTCCATGGCTATTAAGTTTATCCCATATCATGTGTCCGATACTTTTATAGATGTCTGTGTAATTAACCACCGGTCCTTTATAGACATTATTTTCCACGGTAAAATCGCGAGTGTCCTGCCGGAAAGTAAAATAAAATTGATTGTTTCTGTTTATACCGTAACAACAAAAGTTGTTACAAACAGAAAACAAAACGTTTCAAGAAAACAGACGTTGTCGTCAAAAAGATTGCAATTTACGGACTGTACTTCGCGTACAATTGCTTTAATCTGCCGTCAGTTTGTTGGATAATTGTTTATTTTTAAATAAATATACAATAAATATATAAATATATAATATAAAATTGACTTGTAACTCAGATAGGTATGTTACTTTGTTTCTACATTCTTACATGAAAATGTGCATTTAATTCGTGTTCTTAAACATATGGAAAAACCGTGTGTTTCACTTACCATGTGTTTTCACTTCCACAACTACTTGAAACAAAAATCAGGATTGCGGTTGGTTCTCAAATAAAGTATTCCCGTGTGAGTGAACACAGAGCGCCTTGTCACTTAAAGCAATATCACTGTATCACAATTAATAAAATCAGTAATAGTCTTAGAGAATAGATTATATTCTACGTATACGTATAACGAATGCATTTATGCAATTATGTATTCAACGAACACTTGCATCTCGAAAACTCAGAGATGCAGCAGTAGCAGCCATTACAGGAAGACTGATTGGCATTTACTTCTTGGCACAAATTATGATCTAACTATACGTATGAGCAGTTGCATTTATAGCGTAAGTTATTTTAAGCTATTGGAGAGCTAACTAGCTCTTCAATTTTTTATTACATAAGCATACACGTACGAACTATTATATTATATTACAAGAAACACATTAATGTTTTGCGCCAAGTTTTACGCAACAAGTTAAAGTCAGATGCACCAGCAAGATGTAACAATCGTAGCATGTACTTAAACCATTTTCAACTAGCGGGAACACTTCTCAGACACATTTTGTTTTAAGAGTAAGTACCTCAGAAAACAAACACGGTTCAGAAATGAAGATGTAATGCTGTCTCTCCAAACGATTGCGTGCAACATGCATCACAAGACTGAGCGAGAGAAACCGATTACATCAAACCACATGCTCCCACCGGTACCGACATTATAATGACAGTGATGTAAGATATGAAGTGATTTACGATCTAAAAAAATAATGCTGAATCATAACCAGATATCATTTAATTTTACTACATGTTGTTGATATGATAATCGTTCTTTTATAACGTGACTTCTGTAACATGCGGATTAATTACTTTAAGGATTAAATAAGGAACAAAATCTGTATTGTTTATTTTTTATTTTAATCTTTCTTTTTCTTTGACATTTGGTTTTTTTGCAATCACCGTTTATTTATTTTCTTTAATTTGCTTGACAATAACCTAACACTTAAAACGAATCGTCGCACATTCATATAAATCATATTAGAAACTATTTAAAAACAACCACCACCAGTGTCTGGATTCTTCTTTCAGTTAATTTCTCCATTAATTTTTACATTCAAAACCAAGAGTTAATTCTCAATGAAAAAATTAATTTCACTTTAAATTAACGAATATTTTAATTTTTCAGTTTACAGCTAATTTCTTAGCCATTGCTCTCAAGTCTTTCTTCGAAATTTTCCCAGATCCCGTATATGGAAGATTTTTTAGAAATACAACACCAGCACGAAGCTTGTACTCATCCATCATGTTGTTTGCCACGTAATCGATTAATTCCTGTTCCGTCACCTACAACATGTATACAAATACAAATCTATCATCTTTCAACAATACCGCAAACATTACTTATTCAAAGTATGTGATCTCATTTATTTGTAATGTTAACAATTTTATTTGTTTAAATTCATTTTAGTCTTGCAATAATATTACACCTTAGCGTCGGGGTTTACGGTAACAAAAGCAAGCGGATGATCGTTGTCTGTTTCATGCGGCACTCCCACTACCGCG